TATAGTTATAAAATTTTCAAGATAAGAGGCTAATTTTAATATAAATATACCTGGAACAAATATGAAATATATTTTTATTAGTTTATATAATAAATTATTTGTGTATATACATTAATATAAAAGCATGGTAATTATTTATTCCAAACAAGTATAAGAAATTTATTTATAAAAAGTAAGTAGACATAAAGGTGATATTCCTCTATTATATAGAATTGTTACAAAATACTAGGTAAAATTCCACTTTTACAGACATATTTGACAGTTAGAGAATATATTAGTTAATATTTTAACAAATTTTACTAATCAATGCTATTGATAATAAATATAGCAACAATTTGCATTAAATTATTTTACGCCATCTATTTATTTTAAATAAAAATGATATTAAAATTTAATCTTCATATTATATCCCATAATGTCTTTTAAAGATATTTTCTGATGTCCTTATCAATATTTTATAGTTTTCTGTAAATATATATAAATCGCTATATTGGTAAAAATACTTGATTGTCATATAAATCTACGACATATAATATTCCACTGTTTGTATTGTGCTTTAAATTTTTTATTTAATTTATGATTTAATTTTAATTATAGTTTTATAATTGCATTTTACTTTTATTAAGATAAATAAATTAAAATTACTCTTTGGGGGTCAAGGAGTGGGGAAAGGACTAAGGGGGATATTTTTTATTAGCTTAAAATGATATTCACAAAAAGTGATAAATTTCTGAAGGTGGGGACTTTCCCCTTGTCCCTCACCCTGGCTACGCCTATGCCCTTGTGTATTTCTGTAATTGCAGACTAAAATAGCTAGACTGGTCTAAATCCCTCTCGTTTCTTTTATTCATACTCTGTTTAAAAGTTCGAACTCTGATGATGGTAAGGACTTCCGTGCACTAATGGAATCCCGTTTTTATCACAAAATATATTGAAATCTTTGCTGCTGAATTGGGGTCCGTTATCAGAAACGATTATCTTTGGAAATATGAATCTTGGAAAAATATTTCTTAATATTTTTATCGTGTTTTCGGTTGTAGAGCTAGTCATGGGAACCATTTCTGGCCAGCGACTGCTAGTATCTATCACTACTAACCAATAATGAGTTTGAAATGGTCTAGCATAATCAATATGTACTCGGTGCCATGCTTTTGGTAGTTTTTTAAATTCTTGAAATAAGTTGTACCAATCTTTGTAACACAGGTTTGAATCCGTTAAACTTTTTATAGTCTGCGCCATTTTTGTAATGTATTTTTAGTAGTAATAAAATACCGAAATCTTTTTTAATATATTTTTAGAAATCATAAAATTTTTTCATTTTTATTATTTAGTATCCAAAATAATGATCATAATTTATTATTTAAATTCATATCAAATATATAATAATAAAAAATAAATATTTAAGCATTTATAATGACAGATAAGGAATTTTAAAAATTGCATTTCTGTAAAGTTGGAAAAAGTGGAGATATAATAATATTACAAGATCTAATTTTATATGAAATAGAAAATATTTAATTCAATAAAAATAGAAATAAGGAATTATAAAATATAACTATAGTTTGGATCAAATTATTTAATGAAATTTATAATTAAATTGACATTTTAACTGCCGGTCACGCTTACCAATAGACTGGCAACTGATTGATGTATTAATAAATAATAAGTACTCATCAGGCAATACATATTGGCGTAACCCAGATATCACTTACGCTAGTAAGGTTAGGCAATGAGTGATTAATAAAGGCCGAGTTCTATAAATTATGCAATAATAAGTTTTATAACCCTATTCTAAATTCAATAACTATTATATAAATTTATTAAGGCAAAATAACAAACTCTATCGTTGAATGAATCTTGTATCTTTTTTTAAAAAAATATATTATTCAATTAATATGATTTTATTTCAAAATTAAATAGTCACTTTAGCAATTATCGCAATATTGATAATATATTGGCCATATATTCGCAAAATAGTTTACGCTATATTGTCATCGCTCGGGATTTGGGTTTCGCGATAATAATTTCGCTATTATTGATTCGCGATAAACGTATCTCGGTGGTGTATTAGCTTTAGAGGTTTAGCAATAAGAGTGTGGCTATTAAAAAATAGATTTGTCGCGATATTGTCTTATTGTATATTCTAATGTGCATTCACGATAAATGTTTCGCTGTAAAATTTACTTGTGATAAACAACATTCGCAATAAATGTTTCACGCTTAAAGTTTTACTGTATTGTGGAATTTCTGAAACTAGAAACATCTAATTGTCTAATCTAAAGCGTAATTAAAATACTTAATTACCATGAGGGCAATTTAAAGTATACCAGCCATAAAGTTTATATATTAAATGAAGACCATGGTTTAAATATTTTTTTTATCTTAAAGGAAAATTAATTATAATATGTCTCATAGGCAATTTCAAAATAACCTAACTTTTTATAATTTAATAAAAAATAGTTCTATGTAATTTTTTATAATAATTATATATTTTTTACTTATTAAATTTTTTTTAAGATTATATATTTATAATAGAGAAAATAAAAATTTTGATAACTAATAATCAAATTTTTTATTATAACAAGATATAGATAAAGATGCATATATCAAACCTTATTATTTTTTAAAAATTACATAATAATTGAACAATTTATTAATTCTTTTAGATTTTGGCATATAAAAACTAATTTCACTAGATTTTTAATCTGGGTTACCAAATATACGTATTTTTTTCTCTGACTATTTTAATAGTTAATCTTCAAAAATATAAAATTATGCACTTTTTAAATTAAATAAAACAAACAAATTTGATATCCCTTAAAATGGTTAAATTTTAGAGGCCCTTTGCGATTACCCCACTCGTCTATTTCCCCAACTGCACAAACCTGAAACACAGGTTCAAAATTTTTCCTTCACTCAGCCCTGGATACTGATTGAGTTATACAAATCTCATTCATAAATAATCTTGAATAACAAAATAATTTTTTAGTCCATAGATTAGAAAATAAGTATTATAACTAATTACGTTATTATTAATTTAATTGAGGTTAAATTATGTTAAAATAATATAACCAAAAATTTTATTTAAATAAGAGGACATAGAAGCAACATAAATAGAAATTACTAAAAAAATTTAAATAGGAGAATAAATATCATAACTTATTACATTTAAAGCAATTAATTAATTGAGGTTGAATTATATTAATATAATATACCTAAAAATTTTATTTAAATAATCTTTTTAATAATTATAAGGACATATAAGCAACATAAATACATAATTAAATTACTATAAAATTTAAATAATTTTTAAATATTAATATAAATAAATTTTTATATTCAAATCATACGTCCAAATCCAACGTTTTCAATCACGCAAAATAAATTGATACTTTCAAATTAGGTAATGATTATTTTTTTTTAAATATTTAAATAATTAAGATTAGGTATACATTTCATTAATGAACGCTGAACGTAAAGCTATAGTTAAAAATGCAGATATGTCTGAAGAGATGCAACAAGATGCAATTGATGTTGCAAGCAACGCCATTGAAAAATACAATATTGAAAAAGATATTGCTGCATATATAAAGAAAGAATTTGATAGAAAATATTCGCCTACCTGGCATTGTGTTGTTGGACGTAATTTTGGTAGTTTTGTTACTCATGAAACACGACATTTCATTTATTTTTATTTGGGTCAAGTTGCTGTATTATTATTTAAATCTGGCTGAACCTACATATTTTATGCCTATGTTTGGTAAAATTTTGTTTAAAATCATTTTTTTTTAAATGTGTTATAATCTCAACACTGTATAGCATTTTACGATGAATAGTAATTTATTAGTTTAATCAGAATAAAGATCAATTTCCAATCTATTTTCATTGTTCATAAATTTTGTTATTACATTATAATTTTTGTTCCACATTGATTCCATTAATGATATTTTATATATTTGAAAATCATGTATGAGTATTTTAATAAAGTTAAATATTAAACTTATTATTTATGTAATATTTTTTTATGCATTTGAAATTTTAATAATTTTATCTATGCTTGATATTTATTTTAACTAATTATAAAAATATATTTATTTACTTTTTTTTTGATTTTCAAAAATAGTTTGTTTTGGCCAATTATTTTATAAAATATATTGTGATTTGGGAAATTATTAAACTACCAATCTCCTTTGTATACAAATTTAAATGACTGTATTTTTAGCTTTTGTTATTGTAGATAAAAACAAACCTTTAAAAAGTAATCTATTCTAGAGTTCTGCATTTATTACATATGTTAATTAAAAATACAATATAATAAGGAGTCAAACCAGCCATTAAAATAATTTTTAAATATTAGGCAAGCAGGTTAAACATAATTTATAGATAAATCTGAGTGAGTGGGTAAATTTTTTTAAAAAATTATAATTGGGAGGCAATATAAAAATTTCAAAACAATGATTGTGGACCTTTAATTTACATTATCAGATTATTTTAATAATTTATAAAAAAAAAATTAACTATAATTATAAATCATTGCTAATGAAAGTGGCTTTATAGCTCAGCAGAAGGTTATGGTTTGAATCCCACAAACATTTTTTTTAAAGTCATTCTTGGACAAGCTGGGGTTATAAATAGATGCCAAATATAAAGTAAGGTTAGTATTTATTAAAAATAATATAAAATTTAAGCAAATGATGATATGTACCCATAGATCTAATTTTTAGTCTAGGTAGCATGAAAACTTTTTTCATGTAAGTCTAACCAAAGACAGGCAAAATTTTTAATGATCAGCAATAACCTCAATAATTTTATTTTTGCATAATGTCATATATATGAATATTTATCTATTTTTTAATTCATTTTATAATTGAGATATTTAATAAGATAAAAATATTACATAAATATTTTAAGACAGGATGTAGTTTAGCTACTTTCATCATAATATATTATAAAATTATCACAATTTAGCATTTTTATTAAGAATCTTGCATAACACAATATAACAATTTAAAAAAGTTTATTTAAATGGCCTATCTGTTACAATGATTTTTTTCTTAATTTCAATAATTAATGAGCAAAGAGGCTTGTTATTAGGTTCTAGTGATAATCCTTGTTTTGCATCTTTATAAGCTAATTCATATTCACCTAAGTTAAGATAAGCAATAGATCGTCTATAATAAGCTTTTTTGTTATTAGGTTGGAGGGATAATGATTTTGTGCAATTATCAATAACATATTTATAGGATTTATTTTGGATTTGGCATGCTGCAATGTTTAAATAACATAAAGCTTTTAAAGATTTTATATCATCAATTGCCCAATCTGGCCATGGTTCAGGGCCAAAAGTTATTAAATATTTCATTGCCTGACTAAATTGGTATAGGGCTTTGGTTACATTTCCATTTTTAAATAATTGTGATCCTTTATCTTTATGAAGTCTAGACATACTGAGTTTTTCGGTAGTTGTCATTTCCCATATTTCTGGTTGAACAGTAAATTTTGTAAGGTTTAGCTCAATAATGGTATCTTTATAAGTAGAATCACTATCAAATTTTGATTTAAGCTTAAAAGCAAAAAGTGATGTTTCTTGTATTTTCATTGTTTGTAAACATTGATTTATAATTAATTCCATATCATTTTCAGCAAACCCTATGGTAAAGGGTATTTCTACATTTATTTCAAATTGAAACTGTAAAGGAGGAAGATTGGTTATTTTCCTAATTATATATACACCATCACTTCCATCCTTAGGAGTATATTCGTTAAAGCCTAAAAAAAAGGAAACAAAAACACCATATGTTAAAATACCATAAATAAGAATTTTCTTTTTTAGAGTATCATATATAGAAATCCATGCACTTTCCTCAGCCATTTTATCTTTATATAACTTATAGAATTGAAAGTGACTTACATTTAATTTTGACAGGTTATGAATCAAATTCTTAGTAGAATTTATGAATGATTAACATTACTAAATAAAAGTGATAAACTTAAATTTACATAATTTAGAAAACTAAACCCTCATACAGGAAAGATTCAAAGTTTTAATTCCACATATGAATTTGCTCTGATTTCATTTTTCCCTATCCTTTTAATTCTATTCGTTTATTTTTATAATTCCATTTATTTTTTTTAAAAAAAATTCATTTACAGTTGATATATATTTTAATTTTTATCAAGATACTATACCAACGTAAAAAATTACATTGTGCAATGATATATATTATACAAATAGATTGTTGATTCATTAAAGTGTACGTATACCACTGAGAAACAATTGACTTTTTATTTATTAAACTATATTTTTTTCCAATGTTTGTCTTTTTTAAATGTTAAAATTTTGGGTCTGTATTTGCAGTGTTGAAATCAAAGTTAGATTGAATAATTTTGATTTCTTATCCAAGTTTTGTATAAAGTTGGTGTTAGTCATTTTCGATAATCAATTTCTTCAAAGTTCATACAAAATATTTTGAACTAAAAGATTTGTATAATAAATTTCCACAACACAATTCATTTTAAATTTATTATAAAAATATAATATAAACATTTTTCTTCCTCTTATATTTATTTTAAAAAAATAAGCATTTTTTTATTTGATTCCCCAATACTTATTTTTTGAAAGTAAAAACACAATACATTTGCTTTATAAATACAATACATTTGCTTGATTTTCTCTTTTTTTATTGAAAAAAAAACCAATTATTTTTACGTAATAAAAAAATTATATATCGTAGAAGCATTATTTTTTTCTTTTATTTATTTTAAAAAATAAGCAATTTATAAGTTTACTTAACATATGTATAGCTTTTTAACACAGTAAAAATAATATTAATTTATTTAAAGTAGCATAAAAATTATATAAATTTATTTATTAATATTTTAAGAAAAATTAAATAGAAAAACAATGCTCTCCTTGTTTCCATAGGCGCTTCATCACTGGTATATATATATATAGGAGTTAGCTTAACCCCATTGTGGGTCGAACGTATCCTAATTCTTTTATTTATCATTATTTGATAATTCTCATTTAATTTACGTGCAAACCACAAATTGGTGCTACAGCATGGACATTTTTAAATGGATTTAATAAATGAATCGCCAATCTAGTAGCATATATACATCATTAAATTAGTATTACATAACTAATGAACATACTTATAATTCTATCAGTTTGAAATGTAATGAATAGATAACTCTCTTCTTACAATTTTAATAGTGACGTTTTTTTATTTTAAAATATAAAAAAATTTTCAAACCTTTCAAAATACTTTTATTTAAAATTTATTAAAACCTGCAGTTGACTTATCTAATACATTATGCATGAATATTTTTTAATATATATTTATAGTGTATGGCCTTAAAAATAACAAGATTTCGATTTGTAAAAAATATTTAAAAAAGTATTTAATATTTAAAGCTAAAATAATTTAAAAATTTTTTTAATAAAAAAACTAATTTATTTTCTAAATGAACTAAATTACGTAACTGAGTAAAAAATTCTAACAAAGTCAAAATACACCCCACCCTCTAAACATAACTAACTTGATGTATGACCACCACCGTTATAGAGGTGAGTGACTGCTTATTCATAATCTTTAGCTACCTGCCAGACCAACCCTTCTCATTACGGGAAAACTGGACAAAATTATTATCATAAACCAATCCAAATCTGTTTAACCATAAGCCTCTGCAATACAACTCTAAGTTATCATAAACCAATCCAAATCTGTTTAACCATAAGCCTCTACAATACAACTCTAAGTTATCATAGGCCTTTCCATTAGTATTTTCAGTGTTGGTTAATTAAAAAACCTTTATTAAAGTATTAAACTTCATATGATATTCTTGTACATTTTCTATAAATTATTATTTATTATTTTTTGAGTTTTAAAAGGTTTGTGGTAAATTGAATCGACAATGGCAAAATTATAGATCCAAATATCTAAAAATAAAAAATATATTAATTGAGTAATTTCAATGTTAAATAAAATTATTTTTATAAACTAACGCAAACCATATCTCCCAGCCTTATGTTAGTCAGGCCTTATCTTTTCCAGGTAAAATTAAATAATTATGAAAAAATTATAGGGAAAAAAACCCATGGAAGAGAAAACACACGAAATAAACTTCCTAGATAAAAATAGCATGGAAAAAAACCCAGATAAAAAACCCTATGGAAATCCAGGGGAAAAAAAAATTTCGGAAAGGAATTATAGATGTGGTAGTGACAAATGGTAAGAAATATATTTTTTAAAGCATTATATTTATTGCGTTTTGATGTCGACATTTGGTTGATGTATAATGCAAATTCTATTCACCAAATGCGTCTATACGTATTTGCATAGGCCTCATTTAGATATTCATAATTGGGGAGGGGGGGGGGGTGGGGGATTTTTTTAAAATAATTTTTTCCTGGGGTTCTTTTTATTGAGGTTTTATTTTCATCACCTATTTGTTAATTTTGAAAATAAGGATTTATTTTCCGTTTTGGTTCTTTTTGGGGCCATGATTACGAACTACTCTAAAACTATATATCCCACCTCTAAATCATTTTGATTTAATTGAAAATTGTTTCAGCAAGAATTTTTTTTTGTATTTGAATATTATAGTATTTTTTTCTAAAAAATATTTTAGAATTTAACACTTACCTAATTTTTCAAGAATTTTACCTAGAATTATTTTTGAGAACTTACTTATATTTTAATAAACTTTGATTTTTCTCCCGTTAATTTTTTTAAAAATGTCAATGAGGAATTTCTTTCGGAGAAATTTTTTTTTTATTGCTTACAATTTGATTAAATTTTTAAATGGGATATTTTTCTAGATTTTTTTCGGGGTTTTTTTCCGGGAAATTATTTTCTTAGATAATTTATTTTCGTAGGAATTTTATTTCCGAGAGTTTCAAGGGGATTTTTTGCCGAGGAATTAGTTGAAATTTTTACCGGGGTTTTATTGTTTGGAGAAATATTTTCTGCTAGCCCTTTTCATCAAAATCATGATAACCTAATCATTATATATTTGTTCTAAGTAATTATAACCTATTTAGAGCAACTTGTCTAACCCTAACTATACTTATACCTATATTTAATTGAATTTTATTTTAAAGATAAAAAAATAATTTAATTTAAAAATCAAGTAAATAAAGTATATTCTCAGGACTAAAGAGCTGGGATGGCAGAAAAAATAAAATATTTTCTAGTCATATATTGTCCTTATGCAAACACATAGTGATTCAATGCAATATTATAAGGTTTTTACCAAAAATATATTTTCTGTTTGCAGCAATATCATAGAAAATATTTTTAATAGCATGTCACATATTGCATTTTTGGGGATTTCTTTTGGTAAAAGGGTTGATTAAAATACATTTTAATTTTATTTGTAATTTAGAGATTTTTTGAAGATTTTTATATTTTTTTGACTGTTAAAAATGATAATGCCGCTTTGGTGTCACTACCTTTTCAAATTGACCAAATTATTAAATGATCACTTTAAGAAGGTTTTTAGAAATTTTTATAAATAAAAATTAATTAACTATATTTGGATTTGTTATTTAACCAAATTGATCAGTTTCTTTAAGTTCTTGTCTTTACAGGATTTTTATATCTTTATGAATAAAAATAATAATGCCATTCCTTGGCCTTGCCTTACTATCTATCCAAATTTACCAGTTATATTAATACGCACTTTTACAAAGCTTTTAGCAATTTTTATGAATAAAAAGGATCTAATTGGCCTTATTAGTTACTAGAGATCTGTTAAACCCTGTTAAATATATTGTTCGATACCCGTTATAGTTTTTTTTTAAATTGCCCGCCCCGGACTGTTAAAATTTTAAGAAAACTCCGTTCTGGCCTGCTAAATTTTTCTGTGCGAACTTTCCTGCCGCTACATTTTTAATATCTATATCTAAATTTTTTTCCTCCAATGCCGCCAATTATGTCTTATCACTTATGACGGTCTTTCCTACTTCTACAGTAGCTTCTAATTGTATTATAACCTGATGAAAACGTTAATTTCATATCCCATTAATTTATTGATCATGATAATTCAGTTGAGTAAGCTGTTTATATAACAGATATTTTTGTTCGGACTTCCGTTGTTTATAATTATGTGTTATCAATATCATAGCTACTTAGATGAAAGAAATTTATACAAGATAGTGACCTTCATTTGAATATATTTAGATTCGTTTCCGATATTAATTATAGAGGGTGATTATAAATATTTTCATAATTCACACGACTTTGTACAATAAATATAATTAAATATTTACTATTTTGCATGTAGGAAGGAATGGCTTTATTAACTTTAAGAGAAACCATATTAACTAAAATGTTTGTTCTTATTAACAAACTTTCATTATTAAAATTTCCTAGTTTAAAATGGCAAATTTTTAAAAACCTGGGCCGTTCAACGAAAAAATTTATCTCCAAACCATATAACTATAAATAGTAATATGCGGGAGAATATCACCGATAAGGAATATTACCAGGGGCGGACTGGCCATAAGACCCGGTGGGCATTTTGCCCACGAGGCCGCGAGAAAATGTCTATTTTTGAGGCCGATCAGATAAAAATATCAAAAGAGAGGCCAATTAGAAAAAAATAATTATTATGTTCACATTATTTTCTCTTATCATTTATTTATTTTTAATGATATCTCTATGATTTGAATATACATTCCTTGGGAATTGTCATGTCGTTTACTATATTTTAATGCATAATATATCAATAACGTCGCTTTACGCTACACTACCACATTCTTTTCTTTGTTTTTTTTAAAATTTATTATATTATATCTTTATACATTGATTTATTGTAGAAAATATAGCCAACATTTCTTGTTCCTAATTCATTGAAATCAAATAAAATCCA